TGCTGGCTCGTGGCCGCGCGCGAGGCCAACGGCGCCAAGCCCGCGAGCTCCTTCGCCGTGACGCCCGGCGCGACGGGCGCGCGCACCGACGACGTCGCGAAGCCCGCGGCGGCCGTGGCCCTCGACCCGAAGACGGGCCTCCCGGCGCCGCTCGCGAAGAAGCGCGCCGCGAAGCCCGCGGCCGCGGCGCCGGCGCGGCCCGCGCCGCCGCCCTTCCCCGCCGCGGCCTGCCGCGACGTCCTCGAGCAGCTGCTGGCCGCGCGCGCCGCGGAGATGGACCGCCGCGCGGCGCCCGCGGGCCGCAGCGTCGCCGTCGTCCCGGGCACCGCGGGCGCGGTGCGCTGGGCGAACGCGAACGACAAGGTCCACGTCTCCGCGCAGCTCGCCGAGGGCACGAAGCGGGGCCACGTCCGCGTCGACATCTCGGCGACCCGCCTGGCCGTGAAGGTCGGCGCGCTCGTCGGCGGCGACTTCAAGCTCGCGACGCTCCTCGACGGGGCCCTGTTCCAGGACGTCGACCCGGCGGCGTCGTCCTGGACGCTCGTCGACACGGACCTCGGGTCCGCGGAGCTCCAGGTCACCCTCGCCAAGAAGGTACCCATGCGATGGCTCATGCTGGTCCGCGCGTGAGGGTGGTAACTTGAACTACAACTTGAACGCTCTCGATGGCTCATGCGGTCCGCGCGTGAGGGTGGTAACTTGAACGACAACTTCAAGTTCAAGTTGAATGCTCTCACCACGAAAGCAATCGGTCGTGCTCTCCGGCCCAGAGCTTGTCTCTGGCTCCATTATGGCGTCGTTCGAGCAGCCGTAGCAGCTTGTAGCAGCCGAAATATGGCGTCGTTCGAGCAGCCGTACAGCCGCACAGCGGCCGCGCTGGACGCGCTGTCCATCAAGGAAGACCCGGGCAGCACGCGCGCCGACCCGTCGATCGAGGCGTGCAAGGTGCGCAGCCACATGTCCACGGGCGACCCCTACGTCGCCGACGACGTCGCCGGCAGCTACCTGCAGATGACCTGCGCGCGTAGCAACTTCCGCGCCGTCGGCTGGCGCGCGCACGACTTCCGGAAGCCCATCGTCACCATCGGCGT